CAAGAAAACAAGTAGCTGTTGTTATTTAATTTTCAACCACAAAGATGTCTACATATTAAAAAGGCTTCCTAAGCTACTCAGGAGGCTAAGATCTGAGGATCATGGTTCAAAGCCAGCCCAGGCAGGAAAGCTCATGAGGCTCTTATCTCTAATGAACCACCAAAAAAAAAAAAAAAAGCCGTAAATGAAGGTATGGCTGTGGTGACCACCAGCCTAAGAGACAGGGACAGTGCCCAGGCCCTGAGTTCAAGCATGAAAAGGAAGGGAGGGAAGGAGGGAAAGAAAGAAAAAAAAACAAGCAAGCAAGCCAGCATGCATCATAGACCATCTCCACTAAGAGTCCCTCCATACTAGCACTCACATTTCTTCTGATTGCTAGGACTACAAAAGAAACAGCAGGTAGACACTCATAATAATGCCCTATTAATGTTTCCCTTACTGAAGCAAGTTGCCCATTGGCAGAACCCTTCTCAAATATATCTCTTCATCCTTCCCTGGGGCCCCTAACACTGACTCAGCTAAGGGAGGGGTGCAACAATACCAGTGAATCAACAAACTATACCTGTAACATGTGATACGGAACTGCAAGGAATGAGCCATCAGCCACCTGCATCTGTCCCAACAGCCAACTTCGGAGTACCCTGGGAATGCCTGCATCAGCCAGAGTCAGGTAGGCTCTGTGTGGACACCCCTAACCAAGGTTAACAAGAGGCGAACGGTGGGTGGTCTCCTGATGGCTCACGATGGATACAGAAGCTTATAAGGGAGTTAATTTTGAAGATCTTTTCCCTGTATTCCCCAGGTGAGAGTAGCCTGGCAAAGTCCTAGGAGGAAGGCTGGGGACCCTAAGTTCAAATCCCATGACCACACACACACACACACACACAAATGTGATGGCTCGCATCTATAACCCTAGCTATTCAGGAGACTGAACTCTGACAATTAAGGTTGGAAGCCAGCCCAGGTAGGAAAGTCTGTAAGACTTTTATCCAACTAATCAGCCAAAAGCTGGAAGTAGAGGTACAGCTCAAGTGGTAGAGGACCAGCCTTGAGGGACAAAGCTAAGGGACAATCAGATCAAGCCCCTGTGTGTACACATGCACACAAACACACACACACAGGCACGCACGCACGCACATGCACACACACACACACACATATGCGGGCACACACACGTGCATGTCCCAGGAGAAGGCCATACTAAAAAATGAGGTACACAAACAGGAAGAGCATCTCTGTGTCAGACCTTGTACCTGGTTCAGGTCTCCCATTTTTCCCTCTGGATTCCAGAAAAAAAAAAAAGCCCAAATTCTCTTTCCAACAAAGCTGTAAGTCTGGCTTCGAACAAGTAGGCTCCACTGAACCTATGGCCTCATGCAGGCATCCTAGTTAAGAGCTGACCTACATCTCCAACCTGTCTTGTTTCTGTATTTGTTTTTGTGACAAGATCTCACTGCTCTGTTCATGCTGGCCATCCTCAAACTTGCCATCTTCTCATCTCTACCTCCCAAGTAGCTGAGGTGGCAGGCATGCGCCACCACTCCCAACTTCAACTCCACTCTTAGGCTTGATCTCCCCTCAGGTACTCAAGCAGGTGAGCAATGTCGGATGGCTGCAGGTATCAAAGACTAACCTCTCTGTGGTGTAAGTCAAACTGAAATCATGTGGGTGACATCTCTTCAACACCAGTAAAACCTGTTATCACTCCAGCTCTCCCGATCACTGAAACAAGCTAGAGATGAGGACACAGAGAAGCCAGACTGCTTTGGGCAAGTCCCTGGTACATGACTCTGGTGGCCAAATGCTGCCACTTGCTGATGAAGATCATGAACCAAAGGACTCTTGTTAGACCTTCTCAGGCTACAGGCTCCTCAAAGCCCAAATCTCCAATAATAGCCTGAACCCCAGCCTCCCTTGCCCCCAGTGGGCTGGCTAAGTTAAGTTACATGCTTCCCTATGTCTCTGGAGCCAAAGGCTCTCAAAGCCAACAGGAACCAGCAGACAGTGTGACAAGCAACACCACAGCCTACAAGGCTGAACAGACATGTGGGCATCAAGAGCAGAAGGCCACCAGCCACCTCCCCAAAACATGCACCATCTTTACTTTTCTGTCCACAACCAAAACAGCAGCCACTGTTGCCAAGGGAAACAAGGTCTCACCCCCAAGGCATGGGCACACAATCCAGAGACACACATCTATTTTGTTTAGACCTACCCAAGCTACTGGGTTTGTCTGCTTAGGACTGGAAACGTGGCTCAATGGTAAAGCACTTGCCTAACACAGACAAGGTCCTGGGTTCAATCCTCAGCATGGGAAAACAAAATGATAACATAAAATCTCTGCTTCACTGGGTGCTAGTGGCTCACACTTGTAATCCTAGCTACTTAGGAGACTGGAATCTGAGAACAGTGATTCAAAGCCAGCCTGGGCAGAGATGTCCCTGAGATTCTTATCTCCAATTAACCACAAAAAGCCAGAGTGGAGGTGTGGCTCAGGCAGTAGAGCAACAGCCTCAATGTGAAGCCCTGAGTTGAAGCTCTAATACTGGCCACACACCCCTCCCACACACACACATGCCAACTATGCTTTAGCATCAGGAGCCTTTTAGGTGGGCAGAATCTGCCCTGTCCTAACTCAACTCATGAAAAGATCAGGCGACAAGCTAACAGGAACAATCAGAAACATTTCCAGAGTTCACATGCCTCATCAGGCTGATGGAGGGCTAAGGGAGACCAAAGCCATGCTTCCCAGGAGGCGAGAACGGACTACAAGACTGAATAAGAGCAGAGATCCACAGCCCACCCCCTGGCGAGGGTACTTAGCACTAACAAAGAACACTCAGAGTGCACAACCCAAATCTGCCCAAGGAGCAGGGGCACACAGGGTCAGAGCCTCGAGTCTCTCTAGTCCCCACACAGCCTGTTCGCCTTTCTCCTCTGAAGAGTTTTCCAGCTGAAACACAAAAGCCCTCTTAGGCCTGCCTTATCTGTTTCTCCAGGGGCTGCTTTCCTTCTTTCTTCAAGGACTTCATAAAACCATAGGAAAATGCTTTGTAAACTGTGAGGCACTTTCCCCAGCTGCCTGGATTTTTGTTTTGCTTAGATTGTTGTTGTTGCTTTTTTAATAACTGAAATCACTTTTAGTTTATTTCAGTGCACGACTCCTTGATGCACCTGTGCAGATTGGAAAGGCGGTTTACATAAATCACTCCTGAGATGGAGAACCCTGACCCTCACCCACCTACCTCCCCCAAACTACCAAAAGTAAAATGAATTAAGAATCACAGCTGAGACCAAAAGGTCCATTAGAACTTTGCGCTCCTTCCCCTCCCTAAAGTCTACCTAACTTTGGCTCAGGACCTCAGATCCCCAGTGTCATCTGGGTGACTGAGAGCCACCCAGTTTTGTGCTTGTTTTTAAGCAAACTACTAAATGCAGCAGCTGTACTCACTAGACACTATGTTGAAAATGAACTATACAACTTGTGGGTGGGGATGGGAGGGAAAACTGGGAGCGAGGGAGGGAAGGGGTAACTCTTTACCTGACTTATGTAACAGTAACCCTTCCAGACATCACCTACATAATAACAATTTAAAAATAAAAAAAAAAACTACTTTTTAAGTAAGCAATTCCCAGCATGTATAGCATTTATTTCAGGGAAGGCCAGCAGAGGGTTGAGGTGGCAGATGTTACTTGGTGCCTGCTGACACGGCTGGTGGCCTTGTACAGCTGCTTCAGGCAGGTGGCCTCTACATTGTACATGACAATCCTGGCAGCTCAGATCTTAGGAACCCTTCTACTCATTCCTCTACAGCCTGGGGCCCCAAGAATATCATTGTGCCCCCCCTCAAAGAAACATGTACTTTCTTGGTTTGGAATCAAGACTTTAAAGAGGGAAGGGGTGTGAAGTAGAATACAGGAGGACAAGGCTGCCCCCACCCCAATTCCCAGCTGGGTACCACCAGAAGGCCCTGAGAGTGGAAAGGAGTCACTGACCCCTTCGATCAGCCATCTGTGAGCTCCCCCGCCCCGACCTTCCTAGCCCAGACCGATGAGAAGGATAAAGGAGGTCAGGACAGATGGCCCAAGTGCTTTGGGAAGGAGGGCTCTACAGGAATGCAGAGCTCGTCAGAGGCCCCTTTGGGGTGTGTTTTGTTATGGGTTTGGAGCCTCGCTGTGTTCTACAGACCGCAATCTTTTAGAATTTAAAAAGAGAGAGAGAGAGAAGAGGGCAAAAATCAGTCAAGGGTGAGGGATGGAAAGGAGAAGACCCTACTGTCCACCGCTGGGCCCTCCTGGTGGCAAAGTCAGGGGGGCGCAGTAACTAAGTGCGTGCGCGCGCGCGCGCAGGGGGGCGGGAGGCTGGCACCACGAGTCTAAAAATACTCGATAAGAAAAAAAAATTAAAAATGCTAATCCCGAAGGCAAAGAAAAGAACGAAGAAGAAGGAATCTGTCAATCACCCAGGCTCCCCGGGCTCCTCACCCACCACCCCAGCTGTACCGACTGCATTCCTGTAGACCAGGGGAGAACTGGGGAGGTGTTGGGGGGGGAACCCCCGGACTGAAGGAAAAGAAAAAGGGGAGACACACACACACACACACACACGGCCACCTCCACGAGCGCGGGCCGCGGGGCGGAGGAGGGGCGCGCGCAGCCGAACAAAGCGGGGCCTCAACTTGGGAGCCCGCAGCTCCGGGGAGAGAGGGAGGAAGAAAGCCGGGGGAGGGGGTTGAGGGGGGGGAGAGAACCCATCTCAGCTGCACCCCCACCCCCTTTCCCGGAGGTGGGGAGGGGGACAGTGAATGCAAAGACTTAGAAAAGCCAGAGGAGCCGCGTGGAAAGCCGAGGCTCTCGATGTTGGCAAACCCCAGAGGAGGTTTTGTGGAGGGTGGAGTTCCTTGGTCTCCTCCCCGGGCCCGCGCTCTCCGCGGCCCCCTCTGCACACTTGCACACTCACGCACACACGCACACACGTTCTTCCCCCACACACACCCCACCTGGGGATGGTGATGCACTTGGTGTTGACGTTCTGCGTGGTGATGGCCTTCTCCAGCTCGTCCAGCTGCCCGGTCTTCTTGAGCTTCTTCACCAAGCTCTTCACCGCCTTCTCGCACCATTTCTCCTCCTGCCCGTTCTGCTCGCCCTTCTTCCAGCCCAGCAGGCGCTTCACGATCGGCGGGGTGAAGGGCAGGATGGACGACATGGCTGGCCGCGCGGGGCGCCCCCCCCCTCGGAGGAGGGGAGAAGGGGGGGCTGGACGCGGCGGGACGCCCGGAGGGGAGGGCCGGGAGGGGAGGAAGGGGGCGCGCAGAGCGGATCTCGGGGGGGCCCCGCGCCGCCCCCAACTTCTTCTCCAC